TCATGGAAATAAATTAATTTTTGACAAGACTTTACTTGATTTCTTGATTACCTACTCTTGAAACTCTACATGAGAAGGAAATACTGAAGTGGCCAAAGCTAAAAAATTATGTTAGGTATTATTTTCATTAGTACATTACTTCAAATACTACTGTTATTTCCCACTGAATGACCATCAAATTTCCACTAACCCGACATAATTACGCTGCGAAATTTTCCGAAAACCAAGAATCAACATTTCACCCTGACCATTGTCAAGTTCTATCACGAGGCGATCGCCCATGGGTCTATCGGGCGAAGAGAAATCGAGCGATGCGAGGATTCACGCGCGGTGACCAGCCGGGAGACGAAGAAAATTACACGAGGCATGGGACAGGCGGTATTTTGCGGTGCAGAATGTCAATTAAACGGCGCGACCGATTAACCATAACCGAAACCTCGACAAAGGCCGTGGATCCCCGTGCACCGTTTCGCACTCCGCCGGGTTCATCACGCGATAATTTATATGGTAATTCCAGGGACGTAATAAGTCCCCCTTGGCAAACTCTGACTGCCGCTACACACGGCCAACAGCGTAGGTGTACCGAGCCTCGCTCGTACTCCTACTACGTCGATCTCGGACGTTCCATCGCACCGGGAGTGGACGTTCTGCCATGTACACATCATTACTAAAAGCGGTCATCGATTCATCGAGCCTGCCGACCAACGCCGCCCGTTCGTATGCTCTCGCTCTGTCGTACCTACGCGCCTCTATCCGCGATCACGACCTCCGGTGCGCGTGTATGTGCGTATGACTATGCGCCATTGTCGAATTTTCCCACCGACCAGGGTCCTACGTGTTGGATTTAATTAACACCATCTCGTTAACTTTCGTTACGGGTCGTCGAGTTTCGATCGGATCGCCGGGCAAAGATGAATTTAAATATCGAGTCCTTTGCCAACGTGATTAGCTCCCTGGCTCTGCAGGCTCGTTAGGCTACACACTGGGGGGATGCGTTTCATGCTTTATTTTCGGACGCTTTTTCCTTTCCCTTTTTATGAAGTTTGCGGTTTCCTCTTTATTTAACGAGTTCTTTTAAAGGATTTCCATGAAAGTCTTCAAATAAAACATTATATTATGATGTAATGCATAAATTATGGAGATTTAAAAACATTTGAGATATTCTTCCTAGTCGCCAGCCATATTAAACGAAATTAAATGAAAGTGACATGAAATCATTTATAGATTCTCTTTTTGTCTTCTGCCAGGCATTCAAAAATACAAATGTCAATCACACTAGAATAGGCAGTTCTATAATTTTCACTCGTCTAACGATTACATTCTGAATTATATCAGCTGGTATAAATGGACGTATAACGTATTCGGACAATTGGATTCGGTGCACATTTCGTTCTGATAGGACATCGAATAATTTAAGTTGTTGAATGAAACGGTTGCTCGACATACACGACGTCAAATGTATTCCAGAAGTGTTGGTGCATGTTGGTATATCTACCGTGTATGTACATATGCACGATGTTGATTCACGCGAATGAGAGGGAAGATATTAAAAGCAACGATAATCGATGAGGATGGATGAGGTTATAACATTACGGTGGAACAGTTTACTCATAAATGTTTGCTCCGGTGAGATCGAAAAACCGCGACACGGTGAGCTAGAATAATATTACATGGAGAACTCCGGTAATTCGCGAATAAAACGGATATATTAGCAACAATTAATCGTTCAATTAATAATTATTTGTATTAACGAACATTAGAAGTAATAAAAAGTTTGTTATTGGAACTTATATAAAAATTATTAGAAAGCTATGAACAAACATTTTTGCATACTATTTTATAATACTTGGATTTATAAAAGAACATAAGAGAAGTTAAATAGAATTCTGTAAATAGAAAATATTAGAGGGGGAATGAAAGAATTATTGTCGCTGTCGCGTCGTCGTTGAGAGTTGCAACTAAAATAGGCGGATCGATGAAAGGGAAATAAAAGGAACAGAGAAAAGGAGAAATTACCGTTTAATTGATTACAAGGGAGAATTTCCACATTCGACTCTTCATCGAGGTCAAAGCACTAGTCGATTAAAGGCAAACGGCGCCGTCGCTGGATCTTTCAAAAGACTCGTTTGAGATCGGGAAAAAGAGATGATTCTGAATGCAGTGATTACAAACGCGATTGTCAGCGGCTGCCTTTGTGAGTATTCCTGATGAGATTCATAATTATTTTAAAGATAATAGATCCCGCGATTTTATAAAAACATTTCTCATTGTGGGAATACAAGAACGAGAATAATATATTATTGTAAATGAAGTATATGAATTTCACTTAATATGAATTCATTGAGCTTCGTTTATTAAAGACTTGGATCTCATCGTGGTATTATTGATCCAAACGTCTCACGCAGTCATTCTGATATCGAAAGGGAGCTTCTAATTTCATGAAACCAATGGTGACGCAGCTATTGGGTCGTTTCTCCTCTTTTTGTAGCTTCCAGTTTCATGAACATTTTTATCCATGTTTTCTCCAATAAAGGAAAACGATACTTTGACTTCTTATCGGATCTTTCAATTTGGCCAATAATTTTTAGGAATGTAATAAACTTGGACTTCTGCTAGCTAGTAAATGTTAATACATGGAATTCTCGCATATTGAATAACAAATGATTTTACTGATTAATGGATGATAAATCAGTTTTATATCTACGAGACATTACTGAAAACATGTTCAATCATCTATTCATTGATAACAATTAAATTCTTCAAAGATTGTATAATCATTTAAATTTGAAACCAATTAGAACTAGAACACTATTACACATACGAATGTACCAATCGAAAAGATCAAGCTAAAACCAACGATCGCTTCGACCACGTCGCAAGGAAACTCGCCGGATACATTAAGGGTTCCAGCTGTCGGTGGTGTATCGCGGCCGCAGTAATCTACGAGGCAGTTTCGTCTTCATTTGCCAAATGGTCGGTAAATCCGCGCGTCACCCACCGCCATTGTGGGGTGAGGAGAACGGGACGGCAGTTCGGCGGCGTTGCGTTTACTACGAAACTTAACTGCGATGTAAACTCACTTTGGCCAGAGCCAGACCACCGTTTCTAACTAACACCGAACCGTAGCGCGGCCATTCAGCGACTCTCCTGTCGAGATTACCTCCTCCCAGTTACTGATCTGTTTCTGGCGACTTCCGGCCAAGACGAATTTGTTTTACGCTTGTCTTTGTGCGAACGCTGTACACGGTTTGGACTGCCGGCAGCGTTTCCAGAAGTTCGCGAACTTGATTTGTGAATGGTTTTTGATGAAACTCACTCAGGGGAGAATTACGTGGATTGCATTTAGCGTTAGGACATACTACTTGCATGTTTATAAATGGTTTTTCAAAAATGCTAGTCAAATAAAGTCTCAAAGAACAGTGTTAAATAAAAATTAATTGGCATATAAATATGAAATTGTCAATAGTGAACGTGTAGCAAATGTGTGAAGGTAACCATCGGGAATTGAGACTTCTTAACAAACTGTTTCAGAATTCCCTTGAAAACAATAGCTTCATGAGGCTTTGAAAATTGGATTGTTCTCAAAGTTCCCAGGGGTGTTCTGAGCAAGAACGTACGATGATTGACTCGATGAGACGACCGTACAATACGTGGAAAACGTTCCTTTCCTACCAAGGCAAAGTTTGCGATACTCTGATCATGAAGAGAAAGTGAAAGTATAAAATTTGACATTTATTAAATAAAACTCGCTATCAAAACATTAAACTGTCTGTCCATATTATTCAAGAAAATTAACTAATTCCTTTAATTGTTCCGCTACGGCCTAACATGCAAAATCAAAGATAAGTGAATTACGTAATTCTATAGTATTTTATACCACAGACGTCGTCCAATTCGGAAGGTGGCTATTATCACTTGGAAACGAGACTCGTGACGATGCTCGTTTCACCAGACGCAAGAACGTTCCATCCAGCTCGGTGACCGCCTCTTCCGGATCGTATATAATTCCAGCTTTCGTTTCGAGCGCCCGAGAGAAAAAGCTCCTTCTCTCCCTACCCGTTTTCTCTTTCTCTCCTTTCTCTAATGACGGCAGTCCGCGCGCAATTCGCGAAAAGTACGAGGCGTTGTCCGCGATGTAAAGCTCCGTGCTACTTTCGCCATCCCTGGGTGGATCTCGCGGTGCGAGAATGCAAAGCAGAGCGAGCGTTAAGTAAAGTCCCCGGCGCGACGTTTTACGCGAGGTGCGCCGCATAAAGCCTCTTACGCGCAAGTAAATTGTAAGTCCCTTATAGTCGACTGGTCAACGGCGTAAGCACTTTCGTCTGGGTAAAAACAGCCTTGGACGACGTAAGGAGATTAGAGTCGTTATTGCGTGTCCGGGGACAAAGGTAAGGGAAGTTTGAGCGCGGAAAAGTCGCATCCTCCCGAGGGGTGCCCGTGAAACGCCGAGGACTGCGAAAATGACGGAAAGCTGACTACAAAAGAATTGGCCGCCAGGCCAAGCATTATGCGCGTGCAAAGTAGCGTAAGAGAAGAAGAGCCGTTTGCACGAAATTTCATTAAGAAAATTGTGCGTTTTTCAAAGCTACACTGTGATTTATAAATAAGCTGGATATAGTCTCTAACTTAAGAATTATATTCCTATTACTTATGTAGGTATCGTACTTACAATGATGCGTCAGACTAGTAGTCAGTATGTGTTTATTAACGTCCACGTGCTCGATGGAACTGAAAATTAAGAAAACAGTATTGTCATTATATCTGTGGTAATAATATCACTATATGTACAAAATATCATAAAAATATTGATTTTAAATTAGCAAGTGCTTTCATGGTGGACCATACACTTTTTCATTCTTATATACATATGTGATGCACAATCTGTTGCCATTAAATATATGATACTCATCCTATATGGAACGTATTATTATTATTATTTTTATTTAAATCAAATTTGTTATCTAGTTTACATTATGTACTGCAGCAAAATTCGATAATGATCTAACTTCTCATATCTATGTTACCTACAACAAACAGTCTTCACTAAAATATCTGAGCCTAATAAATTTACGAACGGGATCGCTCGCCGGATATCCAGGGCAGCGTATCTGACCCGCGTTTACACGCTAGCTCTCTGTTGGCGCTTGGTTAATGAAGAATTAAAGTCTCCCTCCTATCTCTTCCCCATCCCGTCTATTACGGAACGGGGTTGAAACGATACACGGGCCAAGCTGGAGCTGTTACACCCCGTTGGATTCCGAGGATCCGCGAAGCGGTGCATGTTTGATGCCGGAACTGCTTCGGGGCCCCGGGCCTGCCATCCTCTCGCTGCGGTTTCCGCAACCTCCGTAGGGTCATTAGCCAACCATTCATTATGCAAGTGCGAGGCAGTATTGCGTCAATATAGCGGAGGGGGGGCGCGGCAGATTGTTGGCCCAATCGATAACAATGCACCCTGTTTACAGCCCGGATAATCAACAAACGTAGCTTCTGTTACCTCGTAGAGGAGAGCGCTACCTTCAAGACGATGCAAGTAGGAAATTACGGCACAAGCTCAAGGTACGAAGAAAGTGTATGTACATTCGATGAACATTTTTGTCATAGTTTCATGGAACCTCAATATACTTTCAATGTATTGCTCATCGTTCTTATAGAAGAATTTAAGAATGGTCACTTAACCAGCGCACGATAGGCTTAGAGTTAAGAACCTCATTAATACAGTCTTCAATTTATATTACATATTCACTCCAACAAGGTAATTCCCTTTCCCGAAAGACTAAAAAGGTATCCTAAGAAACGATATTAGACAAAATAGCCCTCGTTTCGTCCAGATTTCTCCATATCACATGGTACCGTTCCGCAAACCGTGCAATTAGTCACACAACAAAAACATCCAGCAAACCCACCCCATAGTTCCTACCGCCCTACCTACCTCCGCAACGAGACAAGGGTTGCGTAACCTGTTACTCAAGCAGCTGTAGCAACTCCGCCCTACCGAATAGGCTACGTTTGACCGTCTTGTACACAGCGTCCGCCGTAGTCACCGGTCAAGCAGCCTCAATTCGATATTCGTCGGACGCGACAGACAGGCAGGAAGTACGAAACGCAGAGATGAAAGGGGGCCCCGGACGATATTCCGAAACTGGAGGCGGCCGGGCGGAGGAAAGAGGCGAGGATGGCGAAAGGGTGGAGAGAAAGTAACCGGGAAGTGGGAGAGAGATCCCCTTTGATCTAAGTTTCTGGGAATGCAGGCCGAAGGGACAGCGTGCGTAGCTACCGCCCAGGAAGTTCCCGGTAATTTGCTTAGTTGAATTAGATTGTGAATTTTGCACCGCAGTGTTTGAGCCATCGTTGAGCGTCTACCGCTTCGTCCCTCGGTCACCGTCCTCCTTCTCGCACCTCCTTTCCATCTCGTGTTACCGCGTCGTCACCGTCCTTATAATTACTGTTCTATCTCTTCAGAGACGAAGTTTGCCAATTCGTTGCCTCGCAGGAAATCCGCGCGCTTTGATCCGCCAAGAAGCGGGCGGGTGTGTCCTTCTCATCTCTGGATCCCCTCCTCCGAGGACACGCCGCGCCACGCTTCCTTCCTTCCTTCCTTCCATCGCGGTAGGAATTGCGCACGATTATGCCGGCGTGATTTCCGCTGCTTTGATCCGGACGCTAAACGGAAAAGATGATCGCGAGCGCGACGCAGACGGTGAGCAGCCGAGAATAAAATTAATCCGACATCAATGGGACATGAGTGTACTGTGCTACCTCCGCTCAAACGGGGTGGCAGCATAATATTCGGATTATTTCAGGTTTGATAATTCGAGATAAGTACAACAAAGTTCTCGGGGAGAGGTAAATGTTCTGAAGGAGCGGTTAAGTTTGAATGGTAAACGTTCGGTATGTTTCGTTTGATGTCTCGTTCGTTTTAATCGTTCCAAAGCGATGTTATCGGGGATACGTTAATGAGATTTCAGAATAAAAAGGAATCAGATACATAATATACATTCTCTGGGGATTCCTGCTTACCTTCTTGCGTCACCTGTTCAGATCAGATAAAATTGTTCGTGCATAAAGAGTGGGCAGTTTCCAAATTTATGTTTTCTATCGATTCAGTCGACGGTGACCATTACTAATCATATGCGTTACGAGTCAACGCTACTACTACAAACGTTCGCATCAGAAATCTTGGTTCGATTCACGAGGCTTGCATTACTCACCCGGTTTCCCTCACCATAAGAAACAAAAAGAAAAAGTGGGAAGACCGTCCAGCCGTCGACCCAAATTCGATCATTGTCAGATTCCTGGCTGCACGATCTTCGTGATTCGCGTGCGAATTGCAATATGAGCGCACGTAGGTAGGAAAGCTATATGTATAGAGATGCAGCATGGTAAATACGTATATGTACGTATACGCACACGTAGACGGCATCGTGCAGAAGGTGCACGCATGGCGTGCAGTCGAATATAATCCCGTAGAAACGGTGTTCCCATATACACGAACAGCAAACGTACACGTGCGCGGAGCACGCGGTGGCGGACGGCTACCCTGTGAATCTTATACAGTGGGCCTCAAGCACGAATGGGGGATCAATGTTTTATCGATATTGCAGCAGACGCGGCACTGATACGTCTCGAGTCGGCCGTCGCGCATATATAGCGCGTGCTTTCTACCGTTTGCCCGAGGATTTATGGATTAACGTTTGTTTATTGAAGACCTTCTCTTACAGTTTTCTACGTAGCTCCGGAGAACGATTTTCCTGGGAAGAGAATTACTTCGAACTGATAATGGTTAATTGCCTGAGATTCCTTGCAAAAAACTTGTTTCCTTTGAGATATTTTTGTATGTATATTTGTATAAGTCCTTATTGCATTTCTCTGAATTGATACCAAAGGCAGGGAAGTCCTGCTGTGCAGGCAAGTATGCACGACGATCAGAGTGAAACGCGAAGCTTACGATCGTACACGAAGCTTCGAGCAGGATTACCCGCGCGCACCCGACCGGAATTGTCGATACGGTTGTCTACCCGCATAAAGTATCGATCAATTCGCTCGTCTGATGGTGGTTTTCCGCTTTAGACGTTGCGAGCGGGCTGTGACACGAGAACGCGTTTCCCCGAGGGACGAGTTAAAAAGGTGAACGCGCAATTTTATCGCCTGCTCATCGCGAGCATATCGGATGCGTAAGGAACGCGTAAGTAACAACAATTCCGCGCTATTGCGAGGGAAATATAAACAAAAAAGACGATACTGTGCATGCACGTGCAACTAAAATCTGCATCAACCGTGTTAGAAAATGAGGAAGAGAGAGAGAGGAAGATGAGCGAACGAATGAAAAGAGAGAGAAGCAGAGTTAAGAGGGTAAGACACGGGGAATAGGATGAAGAACGGAGACGGGAAAGAAGAAAAAAAAGCAAAAAGGTTGCCGCCGTCAGGAAACTTTTGTTTAAAATTGGAATTCCTTTGCGGCTCGTTGGGACTAGGAATGCAGATAGGGTGGAGGCGACGAAAACCGTGGGAGTAGATGGAAAAAGAAATAAGATAGAGCGGACCTTATTGTTAGAAAGAGAAAAGACGAGACATAGGCAACACGCAAAAAGCAACCTAAAATATTATTTCATTATAAAAGGAAGCTTTTTACCCACGAGGGAATATTTTTTATAAGCAATGACGGGGTTTCATTTTGTGTATCGAAATTGCAAAAGAAATTGGAACAAAATGTTTCCCACATTTCATAGTTCTATAATTTGCAACCATCATTTAATAATGAGAATACACACAGATATTGTCTAATTTTCTTTCACCGTTCTGTTCTTTTATTTATGCACGAGTCTTGCGCCAACTGTTGGAAACAATGTTGGAACAGTGACAGGTTGCCGAAACACGGTTCGCGCTGATTTTTCTTCGGACATCTGTTGGCCGATTGAAAGCTGGTCGATATTCGTGATGGGTGTCTTAAAAAAGGGGGAAAAACGAGTGACGAGCGAAATGAAATACGTCATCGGCCGCGACGATATTTCATAGTTCTGGACGATCAATCCCTATCCCGATTCGAAATTTCAGAACCGCCTCTCCTCTCACTGAGTGTCCCTCACAAATTAAAGAAACTTTTGCTCGATCCTATTTTCTCTGAAGACCCACGTTCTTATTTTCCGTCTCTTTCCTGAAGCTTCTCCATTACTTCCATGAGAAAATGTAGAAGAATAGGTAACCTGGAAAAGCGACGAGCAACAGTCGCTAAATATAGTAAATTGAAATGCTAATGGCAAATGAGTTGATGACGCTTATGAGTTTATGTTATACAATCGTCAGTGCGATTGTACACTTCTCTTCTAAGAGAATTCGCATTACCGTCGTCCATTTAATTATCCTCTATGTTCCGGACGTATTGTTCCAAGAAATTCTAATTACATTTCCGTTAATTCAATGGATTAAGTCCTTATGACCTAATCGAGTTTCAATTTCTTAAAACTGACTCGGCGATCTATTTCGTCGAACTAGTCCAGAGAATCGGGCCGACGATGCATTCGAATAATTAGCGAGATGGGGACACTTATCTAAGTATTAGCGTTAGGCTACACAATGCCCATACCTAGTGACAGCGAAAGATAAAGATCGAGAGAGACATGCTGGAGCTTCAGCTGGCTTATCGGCGGTTCTGTAATTTCGATAATTACGGTTTAATACATTCAGCCGTGACGACATACATAGTACGTACGTACTGGTAACGCGATTCT